GAGAATGGAGGGAGACTGAGCTGGGGCGGGTAAGGAGGGAGGCCTGAGCTTGGGTGCCCCCCCCCGCCCCCACACTGGTGGGGGAAGGTGTGATGGAGGGAGAAAGGAGGCGTTAGGAAGAGGAGGTTGATAAGGTTGCAAACCAGGGATTAGGCCCATTTGGCTGATTTAAGCCAAAGTCTGGCCTCCCTTTCTTGGAGAGCTGGGAGGCAGATTGAAGAAGGGCCTGCGGGTATGTGTACATTAACTAGTACCATACTGGTTAGTTATTCAACTAACATACAGCCTCTACCCAGTCCAGCTGGGAAAATAAAGTGAGACTGGGTTTATTAGATTATTCTAGGCCTTCTTGCAAAAATGATTTTACAGGGGCGCCTGGGTGGCTCAGTCGTTAAGCATCTGCCTTCCGCTGGGGTCATGGTCCCAAGATCCTGGGATCGAGCCCTTCATGGGGCTTCCTGCTCAGGGGGAAGCCTGCTTGTGTTCCTTCTCTTGCTGTGTCTCCCTCTGTCAAATAAATAAATAAAATCCTTAAAAAAATGATTTTACAATAAATTACATAAATTCACAATGCAATTATATATATTATATATACAATGCAACTGTATATAATACATATATTTTATTTTATTTTATTTACTCTAAATATTTTAAAATAAGGACTGAAAACAAGTTGAAGACAGACCAGCACTAAAAAGGCTGCCTGGTGTTCTTGCACATGTGGGTCACCAATTTGTGACATCCTAAGACCAGAAGAAAAAGGGAACCTCATCAATTATGATTCAATGTTCTCATCCCTAAGAGAAGCATAATTATTCCTGATGGTGACAGAGCTCTCACCCATGGAAGCTCATTTGTTTTCTGTTTTTTTTAAAGATTTTTTTTATTTGACAGAGACAGTGAGAGGGAACAGAAGCAGGCTTCCCGCGGAGCAGGGAGCCCGATATGAGGCTCGATCCCAGGACCTTGGGATCATGACCTGAGCCAAAGGCAGACGCTTAACGACTGAGCCACCCAGGCGCCCCCTCATTTGTTTTAAAAGGCAGTTTGCAGGGCGCCTCGGTAG